TGTACCATGTATCTTACACGTGCTAAAATTAATTTACTATATGTTTTTGTTTGAACAATGTATTGAATGGTACGGATGAGGGAGGAGAGTGCAGATAAGGCGGGTGAGGAGAGATGCGTGACATGGCAGAGAAAGGATGTGTTTTCACATGATAGGATAAAGCCTCACGTGCTAACTGTATACTTGTTACTGCACAAAAGTATAAGTGTTACTGCATGATAGGTGTATGTTACCACTTCCAACTAGCTATGTTACTGCACGATAATTGTAGTTTTACTATGTCATTTTTACGAGATGAAGATCGAATAGGTGGGCCATTGGTAAAGTCTGTAGGTGGCTTTGAGCGAGGTCTGATTGATGTATGAGTGTTTTGAACAATTTTATACATTTGGTAAAACCATGTTACTGCATGTATATGCCCTTGTTACTGTAAATTATACATTCTGTTACTGCATGTGGAGGGCTAAAGTTCAAAATATTCTTTGAAAAGCAATATCTTATAAGATATATATTATTTTTGAAAACCGTTTCCACCATGATGCTATAGTGTTACTGCATATGGAGGGTTTCCACACTATGTTACTATGAAACTTATAATCGTTACAGTAACGACATGATGTGATTACAGTAACACAAAACAGTTAGTAGTAACACTTTTGATATAGTATTACTGCTTGTGGAGAGTTAAGTTTTTAAAACATATCTTTGAAGGGTAATATCTCTCACATCATATACTACTTTTAAAAACCGTTTGCACCATGATGTTCGAAAAAAAGTGCTTATCAAAAGTAGATCCATCATGACTATATTATGACTAAATTTTAATTTTGTTACTGCAAGTAAAACACGGTGTTACTGCACGATGAACAAGACATTACTACGTCGTTCCGAGACGAGAGCTAAGAAGAGAGGGGGTGGTGGGAAAAGTCACCGGTGGGTTTGACCGACGTGGGGAACCTTTGACCAGCCTTTAACTGAGGTGGGAGGTGGGTTTTGGACCCTTGGGGGGAGAGGAGGTGGGTTGGAGGGAGGGGGGTATAGAACAACTATTTTATACCTTGGGTGTAGAATAGTTTTTTCTATATATATATATATATATATATATATATATATATATAGTTAGCGATTTAAAAATCAATACTTGAAAAATAAACATTGATAAAAAACTTCAAATCAACTTCAAAATTAAAATTTAAAATTTAAAATTTGACTATGGCTGATTTCTATATAAAACCAGACCATATGTGCAATATAGTGCATCGGAAGCTAATCCTTTAACTTATCTGCACATATAAGGTCTGTTTGGAGAGCTTAAGATTCTGATAAACAACTGATTAGTAGCCAGCTTTCTTAAAAATTTGGAAAAGCTGGATTTTTCTACTTCTGGCTTCTAATTCATTCTGGATTCTATACTATAACTCGTGAGAATCATCAATCAATAACTCCCCTAACCATCCCCTTTTTCTCCGTTTTTTTAATTTTTTTCTGGCTACCTCGGTGATTAACACGTCGCCGTTTTGCGATTACGGCTCCTCGAGAGCGCGTTTGCGACCGGGAAAACGCGGTTTACCGGTAATTTCACTGTTAATCTCACGTTTGAGGATGCCCGCGTGGCGGTTTCCTCCACCGCTGGTGTCCGGTTTGCGATCTGGTTATTTTGCAAAAAAATCCTTGTCTATGTATAAAATTTTAAACTAACCCTCGTACTACCTGACAGCCTGTTGTACTTTTCACAAAAAACCCCTTAACCTTCAGAGAAATACAATGCAAAGAAGAGAAAAATCTGATTTTAGGGGTAGCTCTGTAAAAATAACAAATACAAGGGTTTTATTGAAAGATAACCACGCCTACGGCCTACCCCCCACACCCCGAGCCCTAACCCAATCGTTTCCCGTTCCCCACTTCCTCCCCACTGCGCCCCGCGCCGCCGCCGGCCTGGGGCTGCCGCCCGGCCGCCGTCGTCGCCGTGGTGCGGCCTCCCCCTGTCGCCGCCTTCGTCCTCCGCCTCCCCACCCCCCTCCCTCGCCACGCCGTGGCGTGAGCCCTCTCTCCGTCGCCGCCGTCATTGACCGCCTTCCTCCGTCCTCGCCACGTCCCCCTAAGCACCACCACCACGGCCCTTCCCTCAAATCCGCCTCCGTCGCCGACCCATCCGCGCCGCCGCTCGCCCTCCCGCACCTCCTCCTCCCCAGTGATGTCTCCTGCCTCCATCCCCACCTCGTGCAAATCGGGGGAGGTGGACTTCGGCGTGGAGGAGGTCGGCGGCGTGGAGGAGTTAGCGAACCTCGAGTCAGCACGGAGGCGAAGCGGAGTTTGTCGGTGGCGGCGGCTGCAGTACGAGGCCACGTCGGCGTCGTTCCTGCCGATGGGTGGTCGATTCGACGAGCGTGCTGCTAGGTACGCAGCCCCTTCGTCTTTCTTCTTCCCTGCGACCCGCCTTTTTTCCTTTCAGCATCGGGTCAGCAACGTACCCCCCCCCCCACGCCGCCCCTCTCCTCCGACCTTCCCCATGCGTCGGCAGCCGCCTGCCCTCGCCTCCGCCAGTCCTGTTGTTGCCGCTCCACTCCCCTCCTCATGGTCGGACGGGTTCGTTCCGTGTGGCGGTCGCCGGCGGGGGCCATGATTTGGTGGAGTTGAGTCGATTCGGTGGATTTGGGGAGTAGTGTTTCTTCCTCGGTTTAGTCTCTTCTTTCCCTCACAAGTTGTGGCTGTTTCTTTGGGTTTCTTCTCCTATGGGTTTCCTTCCGCTGTGTTTGCTGACTGGAGGAGGAGCTGAGGATGCTCGGCGGGATCTGCGCAGCGGTGGTCGGGGATGGCGAGGAGGAGAAGCAGCTCTGTCCTATCTGCCTCGACGGCATGGAGGCCGGGCACGCCGTGCGGCGTGCGCGTCCTCCCCGGATGTAGCTGCGCCTTCCATCACGACTGCGTCCACCGGTGGCACACCATCTCGCCGCGCTGCCTCGTCTGCAACGGGTGGGTTATGCCGCCGTTGCCACCGCCCGCCAAGCCTGCTCTGGATTCTTGAGATGGCAGCGTTGCCGCCCTACCGATCATGGCTCAGTTCTTGGTTCTTGACGAGTTCTTGATGAATTCTCGGCGATTGTCATCGTCGGTTTCTAGGCTCTGGACAGCGGTTCTTGCCAATTTCTTGTTGGCTATCTTGTTCTCTTAAGTATGCTGCCTTTTAGAACTTGTGCTTTCTGGTCATGGACTTCTATAAGATGATTGATTTGTATGGACAGGTGAGTTGTTCTATAAATCTGACATAGTTTCAGTGGATTTGGCCACCGCTGACGATAGCCACCGACAGCTCGGGTTCTCTCTGCTATCAATGCTTCTTATTTGGTATGAATTCTGAAAGCTCATTTGGCGTGTTATCTGCATGAGAGTTTATGATGACATGTTTTTTTGTTCAGACCAGTGCTTCTGTTTACAGATTTGTTGGTCTACATATTAGTAAATTCAGATGAGCTGATGAATCAGGGAATTCAGGTAAGATCATGACTTCCAGCAATTTGGTACTATACAACAAAGTTTTGTCCTATTGTCCTCTTTAATATGTATTTCAATAATGCTGAGTTTATTTTCTAATTTGTCAACCATAGCGAGAGATATCAGTAAACTGATTTCGCAATTGTTTTTGTCGAACTGCTGCTGTTAATAAGAGTTCTGGAGTAATATATATTTATAGGTACACAGGATGGTTAAGTAAATGTACTTATTTAGATTGCTATGCCTAACATCCTTAGTTTATTTGATGATGCTACATCCTTCTTCAACTTTAAGGTCTGCTATGCATCTTTGTATTTTGAAATCATGGGCCATTGAAAATGTAGCACTAGCAATTACTTTGTCTCTTGTCCAGTACCTTTTCTAGATTTCTATTCTGTACTTATTTGGGATGATTTTTTTGTTACTTGGACCAACTAGACTCTAGAGCGCTGTGTGTGTCTTTTGATCAATGCTGAACAGTGCTTATAAAATAAGTGTTGTAAACACAGTGCTGCTTTGATCATGTATTTGAGCCTAACAATCTCTAGATGCACCATGCAAAAGTAGTTTTTTGTTTTGCCCTTATAGCTGTTAGACATAAGAATTTCCTTACTGTTCGACTAAAAAGTTCTCTTTCTACTTCGATAAAAGAAAAACTTGATGTGACCAGGCAAACATGTCATCAGTGCTTCATATAATAGTTGATTCTATGAATTTTTTTTTAGTTTCAGGTATAAAAACGACTTGGACTTCTATTTCATGGAGTCATGGTTAGGAATAAGGAATATTCTATGAATATTCCTTATTCCCAAATTTGAGGACTCTAGCATGGACATCCTAGGAGTTCCTACACTGGTGGGTCGTTCTCAAGAATTCTTCAAGCCGAGTTGTTTCTTTCTCTTTTTTTTCATCTGATCTTTATCTCACATGGAACCATTTATTTCCAGGATATTAACTACGTCATTCAGATCCCACAGTAAGCTAATTACGCCCAACGATCTAACACAATTCCTTTCTCAGCTAATTATGCACTCTTTTGTCAGGAAGAGCTGCATTCCTGGTTCTGCTGTAACTGAGGGTTGATCTGCCTGATGTTGATGTGCTGTTCAGCTGTTGCTGTTATGAAGTGGGAATCTCTATTACCAAATGATACCTTTCTTATTGTTGCCTCCTCTGATGGCGCATTTGAGAAAATGACTATGCAGGATGTCTGTGATCTGATGTTGTACGTGAAACTTGGTGTTAAGCAAGAATTAGGATCCTTTGCAGTAACACAACAGAATTTGGCGGATTATGTAGTTGACCTTTTTTTATAGATAGGGACAACGGACAATGTAGCAGCTGTGATTGTTCCATTGGGATCTCATTATAGCTCTAAAGTTACACTAAAAGATTGGTACATATGCTTGAAGAAAATTTCAGGACATATATTTCACCATTACAAACCATTCCAAAGGACATCTATTTCACCATTACAAACCATTCCAAACAACGGAAGTCAGGTAGGTTTAATGTACAAAAACTCAAAAAGTTCTTTTTTATCGCAATCAATTGGCAAGTTGGCAATTTGTAGTCATGACCACTTGGGCAATTTTTACATTATGTTTTGTTTATAAGATTGAGCTTTTCATTAGTTTTGAGAAATAATAAATTACTCCAATAATTTGCTATTGTATTACACTATCTATTTATTTCAATACATTTTTAAAATTGAAGCTTATTTTGTTTACATAGTCATCCGCTACGTGTTTAGAGTTTGTTTTGATTAAGCTGTTAAGCATACTTGCGTGCGCAGCTGTGCGCGGCGTGGCGCCCCCTTATACTTCTAGTCTAAATCAAAAGTTGAATTGTTTGGGGAGCTTAACTCTCCCACACACACGACCATAGTTGTGAGTGGCTCAATTGGATATTCTTTCCTAGCGCGTCCGTAAGTCCGTTGATCTCCTCCTAAATGCAAATGTGATAAAAAAAATAATTTGGCATTGGGAAGTCCAAACGTCAAATATCCACAGGCCACAGGGGTGCATCCTTCTAGGCTTCCATTCCATTCCATTCTTTAATTCCCCCCAATTTTATCCCCCACACACTCCACTCCACTCCACTCCACTCTTTTCGCTCGCGTCGCTTCCCAAACCCTCTCTCTCCTCAAAACCCTAGCGTCGCCCGCTTCGCCTGAGCTCCGGCGATGGACGGCGGCGACCGCCTCAGCGCGCTCCCCAACGACGTCCTCCACCTCATCCTCCTCCGCCTCCGCTCCGCCGAGGCCGCCGCGCGCACCAGCGTCCTGGCCCGCCGCTGGCGCCACGTCTGGGCCACCCTCCCGGAGCTCCGGTTCAGGATGGACGTCAGCCTCGCCGCCCACGCGGCCCCGGCCCTCCGCCGCCTCGAGGTCTCCACCGACGCGGACGACCCGGCGGCGTCGACGGCCGCGCTCCGGCTCGCCGCGCCGCGCGTCGCCGGCGAACTCAGCTTCTGCATCTGGCCGCGGTGGGACGACGCGCCGGAGGAGGATGACGGGCCGGCGCCGGTGAGGCGCCCCGGCGTCGTCAAGCTCCCCTGCTTCGAGAAGGCCACCGAGCTCTGGCTAATCCTCGGCCTCCTCGGCGTCTCGCTGCCCAAATCCGGCGTGTTCGCGCAGCTCACCGCGCTCGCCTTCCGCGACGTCCGCTTCACCGGCCGCTGCGATCTCGGCGCCGTCGTCTCCTCGAAGAGGTGCCCCGTCCTGCAAAAGCTCCAAGTCCACGACTCCCAGGATCTGTATAACCTGACCATCTTCTCGGAGTCCCTCCTCCACATCGAGCTGAGCGACCTCCATGGCGGGATGGGGCGGCTCATGATCGTGGCGCCGCTGCTTCGGGTTCTTGATGTGCGCCATTGCTTCTACTGGAGGACGTACAGGTCCCATTCCCTTGTTCGGGATCAACCATATGCCGCGGTCTTCACGCCCGCGCTGGAGGATCTCATCTGGGTTGATGCGTATGATCCTACCACGGTCCAATTTGGCGGCGTTAAACGCCTCCGGAAGCTGGTTACCCAATTACAGTGTATGGACTCTCTCGCTGCACTGATCACATGAATTCAGTAATGCTCTTGCGGCGATTTGAGACGGTATCCATTCTTCAGCTAGAACTTGACTATCCAGAGGTAACTGCACATTTTCCCTAAATCTGGCATGAATGTCATTGAATAAAACATAGAGATTGAAATATTTGTTTGGTAGACTCTAGTCATAGTGTGCATGGACTTCATTCAGATATATACCTTCATAAGTATTGACACAGCTGCCCTGGTGAAATGTGTTAGATATTTATCTTTTATGTATTGAAACAATTGCCCTTGGTGATGTGAAAAATAGCATTTTGGAGGTCCTGGATCTGCTATCGCACTGGTACTGAACATATGAGATACTGAGGAACGGTATTGATCAACCAGATTTAGCCAAAGAAGACTAGAATTTGAGTAGTCTGTCCCACAAACAGGAAGTGGGCTCAGTTTTGGTTCTATGCATGAATGGTGGAATATAGAGTAAGACACTGCAGATATTTGATGCTGTTCTGCCTATGTAAAACTCCCATTTGTCTTGCTGTGCTCAAGTCTTGTAGCTGTCAGCTTCTTGAGGCTCTTCTCTAAATTATCATCATTGGGACTCGCATGTTTATTAACCATGTTTCAATTGTTAGCTTGAAAAATCCAGTTTTCTATCAGTTGCATTTACGAAGTATTATAGTTTGTACATTTCACTATGCATGGTAAAAATTAAAATTAAAATTATAGTTTGACGCCCATAATCTGATATTACCTTTTAGTAGATAATCCCTCCAGTCTTGAATATTTGACATTCCAAACATACATTTGGCCAAACTTTTGAAAGTTTCACCTTTTGTCTTTTCCCGTGTTTACAAGACCATGTTGATTATCCAAATGACAAGATATGCAGTAGGCTTGTATGAAGACCCTGATAGAAGATCTTAACTAATTAAAAGATTAGTATTTTTCCAATCGTCACCAAAATTAGTATTAGTATTTTTCGTCCGTATGTGCAATTTTTTTCACTCGTCCGTGTACGATCTCCTCCCAAAATTTTGGTTCATTAGTACACGCGAGATCGAGAGACCGCATCGCTCCCGTCCCGTACGCGCGTAGAAGCCCAGAACTAATGCACGGAAACGAAAGAAACTGAATCACAAATCCAACAACAATAAAGCAAAACCATCCCAAAAATTAAATCACCGGGGCCAAAAAAAAAGGAAAAAACTGCAAAAAAAAAAAAATCAAGCATTGGCCGGCTCGGCGAGGCAATGGGGAGGAGGAGACGACCATCGGCGGCTCGGACGCAGCCCAGTGCGCACGGTCCACCCCCTCACCACGCACCTCCAAATCCATGGACCCGCGTGAGCGTGTGGGCGAAGAGATGACGGATCCATGCGGGAAGGGAAGAGGTCGCTGGATCCACCCCTCCCATCGCCGCCAACGGCGGATCCGCGCGAGAGGAGGGTGGAGAGATGACGGGATCTGTGCGGGAGGGGAAGAGGTCGCCGGATCCGCCCCTCCTGTCGCCGCCGACGGCTGATCCGCGCGAGAGGGAGACGAAGAGACGACGGGATCCAGGCGTCGGTGGTGGATCCGCACGAGCAGCATCAACGGCTTGGAACCGTTGCATGAGGAGGCCTTGCCGTTGCCCCCAGTCAGCCACTGCGCTTCTTCATCTTCTCGCTGTCGCGCTTCTCCATCTTTTGCCGCATCAAGGAGAGGAGGCGCCGCTGGCCGCTGCTGCAGCCGGTAGGCGGAAGGAGGCGCCGCTACTACAGGGAGGAGGCACAAGGGCTGAGTATGGGAGGATGTGAGGGCGCACGCTGGTGGAGGCGCTGGATGCCTGGATGACGGCGTGCGATGTGAATGGGGAACGACCGAACGAGTGAGAAGGGAGAGAGACACAGAGACTGGGATAGAGGAGCCTAGAGCTCTTTGAGCAGAAGACCTCTTGGAGCTGGCAACCTCCTCGGTAATGAGGTACGAGCTTCAGTTTTTTCATTAAAAAAAAACTACGACCGGTCAAAGTTCCTTTCTTTATTGTGCTATTGATTTTCGCTGAAAAAAAGTTTTTTTAGATACACGTAAGAGTACTTCACAACTAATGATGATTTTTCTTTATTACTTATATTGTTGACATCAAAATCACTTGAAGTTTCAGTAAATACAAAATATTTGTTTGAGACAAAAAAATATCGATTGAAAAAAAAAGTTTCCACGAGATAAGCCAAATTAGAGTATTCGCGCTATCATCCACATGTCACATGACCTGTCTCCACGTGAGTCCACGTATAATTTTGAGTTGACAGATCGAGAAAGCATGCATGACCACTAGAGACTATGAGTAAATATGCAAAACTATTTTCGATCCGCGACACTGCTACATGATATATTTTCTTGGACGCCACCCACTTTTGTTTACATGCGGTCCGTAAGTAGAACCGCATGGAAAAATAGGGGGACAGGCGCCGGGCTGTCGCCCGTGGGCGACTTAAGCCAACCGCACCCGAATTTTCACCTGCACGGGCCCACCGCTTTTAACCGCGCCCGCACACATCTCCCCCTCCGCCCGCTCCTCTCCTCCCACCTCCCTCTCCCACTCCACTCCTCTCCTCTCCTCCCACTCTCCTCTTTTCCCCTCTCCCGGCCGGCCGGCGGTGCGACAGCATGCGGCGGCGCGCGGCCCCTCCCTCAACTGCGGGTGGGAAGAAGGGCAGCGAGAGCATGCGGCAGCGGGCGACCACGGCGGCCCCTCCCCTCTCTCCCCTTGCGGATCCGGCGGAGGGGGCGGCGGATCCGGCGGCACGCACCCCCTCCCCTCCTCCCCCTTGCAGATCCGGCGGAGGGGGGCGGCGGATCCGGCAGCGCGCAACCCCTCCCCTCCCTCCCCTTGCAGATCTGGCGGAGGGGAGGCATGGGTGCCCAGCGGAGCGGCGGCATGCGTCAGCGGCCGGTGTGGAGGTGAGGCGATGGCGTCGGCGACCGGCGGATCTATCTCTCCCCCTCCTCTCTTTGTTATTTGTGATTCTTTGTTATTTGTGAGATGCGTTCTTGGAGTTCATTTGTTGCTGTGAGATGTGTTCTTGTGATGTGAGAGTTCATTTGTTGATGTGAGATGTGTTCTTGTGATGTGAAATCATTGTGTGTCGATGTGCGACTACAGATCCGGCGCCGGCGACCAGAAGGGAGGTTGTCCTCTGCATCGGCTACGACGATGATGACCTCGCCCTCGTCGACGTCACCTACCCCAAGCGTGACGTGGACAACATGCAGTGGTTCCGGGAAATCACACTGCTATACCGTGGCCACCGCCACTCCGCACCCTTTGTCCTCGGCCTCATCGTGCTCTGTGGCCATGCGCCGCCCAACAACTGGTGCCCATGGGGGCGAGAAGGGCGTGCGCGGCCATCCTCGGGACCCCGGCACCCTGATCCGCTACGTCGCGATCTACATCGGCGGCTCCCATGCCTTGTGTACCAGCCCGACTGCAACCAGTCCAAGTACACCGTCAGCGTGCTTCCTTTCCATGAGGACGGCGGAAGGATGGCGCGGCTTGCAGTGGCTCGCAACAAACTAGGCTTGGCTTGGCTCAGCTCAGTTAGGGAAACAAGCTAAAACTTGAGCTCGCCTCGGCTCGTTTTCTGGCTCGAGCCAGCTCGAGCTGTCTTGCAAGCCTTCCTGTTGAAACACCTCTTCATATATATTTTGTAATTATTAAAAAATCAAGAATAAATCATTTAACATGTAAAATTTAAATAAGTTTATATATTCAATTCTTCAAAATCTTAATGATAAATTTCAATTTGACAAATAATAACGCCACAAAAAGTAAAATAATCGATATAAACACATGATGGCCTAGGCTCGCAAGCCAAAGCAAGCGGCTCGCGAGCTAGCTCGGCTCATTTCAGCAATGAGCTGAAAAGGAGGCTTGGGCTTGGCTTATTTGGCTTACGTGCTGAGCCAAGCCAACCAAGCTCGAGCCAAGCCCGAGTTGAGCTCACGAGCCTGAGCTTTTTTTCCACCCCTGCACTAACAAATATCCAACTTTTACATCCCAAAAAGTTACTCGTGTAGTGTCCCACAGCTAATTAAAACCGTGAAGTCACGATGTCCTGTAGCAAAATTTGCCTATTTGGTTTTGTTACACAGAGGATGAGTTAATTTCTCCATATCTTCACAATTTTCAGCTCATGTTTTATGAAGGGGGCAATATATTTCAACTCCACACATTTTCTTCACATATCAACGCACGGGTATATTCCTATAGTTCTCTCATTTTTTTAAGGCTTATCTGCTTAGAAATATATATCCCGCAAATATAAAGAAGATTAATTGTCAAGAACAACGCGACTTTGATCAAACTTCAACCACCCACTATCATCTGTTATCCGTGCAACGCACGGGCATTAAGCTATAGTAATAAATTTGTCAACTGTAACAAAACAACTTATTTTTAATTCAAGGTGGTACTGTTTTTCATATTGTTTATTGTGGCTCCTTATTTGTGAATGTGCAGATGGGCCGCAGTCAGTATTTGATGGAAGCCATAACCATGCTGCCAGCAATTGAGGTCATGTCCCTGGAGTTGTCAAAAAGAGGGCACGCTTTTGGGCAGTGTGTTTTCCATTTGCTCAGGATGTCCACTGGTATAAGAAAGCTGAAGCTTGCATTACGTGGAGGCCTCAAGGTAAGTACATACTTTTTAATATTGTACTTTGGTTGTGGGGAATTGATGGAAGTATTTTAACTTTTGCATGATGGCTTGATCTTCTAATGGTCAGGACTCTGAGGAGAGGATCAGTGTTTTGTCTACCTGGTTCCAGGGACACCAGGTAAAATTTTCAATCTACACTATTAGCTGATAACTAGTATTGCTCTGTCATATGTATTGCTAATACATGTATAGCACGCCCAGTAATTCCTGTACTTGAATAGCCACTGCTAATGGTGATATGAGTTTTGACTATTTGAGGTGATACTTTGCTATGTAATTTATGTAGAAGAGGTAAATGCTAAAGGATCCAAACATATTTTTGCTCAATTTGATGTGTATTTCCAAAATTGTGAAGTGTTGTAGTTCTTTTTGGGTGCCTGGTAACTGTTAATGTTAGACTTTACTGACTGAACATTGTTCAGGAACTATTAACGAATGATCTTCATGTTGATGAAGATGGTGCTTAGTTAGCGATCTGGATAAATATAACTTTAGGCATGAATGTGATGTAGTATGATGAGGGGAATGCTCAAAGAATCATGAATACAGTCTATCTCTCTTTGTTTAAGACAAACGAATTGATTGTCAAGTGCATCCCTTTTGCAGTTTTTGGATTTGTTTGATTTCATTTATAAACTGTACAGGGTACTGTTATTTTCTATGAATGGAAGTCTTGTCGCCTCAATTGTTTTGCCTCAAACCACGTCTCTCATTCTATTGTTCTTGTACAATAGCTGTACCATACTTTCGGCTGGTTTGACTGTCTAATTACTATTCTTTCACCTATACTCCAGGCAGATGCTCGTTGTTCTGCAAGTTGCATCTGTAATCGGCCACAAGCCTGGAAAACAGAGGACCTCTTCTTGGATTCTCTCCAGGAAGTGGAAATCAGTGGATTCAGAGGATCAGAGCATGAATTGGCCTTCTTGAAGCGACGTTTTGGATGGGCAGCAATTCTGAAGACATTCACCATGCATCTTCATCTTGATCTTACTGTCAGCGATGATTTATGCAAGGAGCTTCTTAGCCTCGCTACCCCTGAGACCGATGTGAAGATCTACTTCTATCGTGATGATGATGTTCACGCTAGGCCAGCTTGGGTGTTGTATACACCAGAAGAGTAAGGCACCAATCGGTTGAAGCCTGGTACTAAGTACTTAATTATGCAGGGTATGCTATGAATTACCATGAAACTGGATCTTATATTTTGATGACACTGGATGTTCTGTTATGATCGGGATTAATTCCCATACTTTGCCCTGCAAGGTTGGCATGAAGAGATGCTGGTTTACCTCTTCTCATGTTGTGATTTGCTGCTTTGCGCTCTAATTGCCATTTGCAAGATGATGTCTGAGATGACTTTGTAGCATGGATATGAACTAGGTACCTGAATGCTAAACTTGTTTACCGACTAGAGAAATTGCAACATATATACATCGAATTTTGGATGCTCTACACGGTGAACTATGAGCTGGGTACTAGTACCACACAAGTAATATGATTTTGCAACAAAATGCAGATGCTCCATAAAAGTAAATACGTTTATGTACCTTTTTACGACAAAAGTACACATTGAAAACTTCCCGAGTAGAAATTTGAATCTTTCAGTTCAATGACTTCCACATTTAAATTGAAGAGACTATCAATCAATCGCCCGGACTATTTTCACATGCAACTTGAAAAGTTTCAAGTGTACGTATAGTTAGTTACTAGCTTCAAATAATATATAGCCAATTTAACAATTTATTCATATAATAGTTACCAATAAATATATAATAAACAACGAATAGCTGATCTCGCATCTCATAACACATAAAATTTTGAAGTTCATGCTGGCTATAAATCTGTAGCCTTATTTTCTCCTCTCTTCTCTCGTCTCATGTGTTTATTACTACCTTATAAACACCGCTTTCCTCGTCTCTTCTCCCATCTCCTGTGTTTATAACTACCTTATAAACACTTTTTTCTTTACTGTAATCAGGAGTCAGGACATAGACACTTGAATTAAATTTGAAAATATATTATTCATTTGTTTTTTCTCATCAATATTCGGTACGCAAATATTTTTGGTAGAATTATAGCGTCGATCTCATACAATTGCGCGAAAATAACATGGTCTCGAGCGGGGACGGTGCAAGACAGGTCTACCAGCGAGCGAAACCGAACATGCTGGTCGATTCAAATTAATTAATTACCAGGATTAGCGAGTGATTAATTATTTATTAACAGCTAACTAGGGTAATTAATCACTAATTATTACTAATTAATCTCTAATTATATAATTAATCACTAATTATTAACTAATCGCTAATTAGGGTAATTAATAATTAAATAAGTGGCACCGTTGGACAAGACGTTAGGTTTTGCTGTTCCATTCTGCGTGACCGCGCAAGACCGAGGTGCTAACGGTCGTGCTGTTCCATTCTGCGAGACCATGCAAGACCGAGGTACAACGGTTGTGCGAGATCGAATGCATATTTATAAAAAAATTACATCTTAAATATTTCTAAGAAAAAAGCAAATAAACAATATATTTTCAAATTTAATTCCACGATGGCAAAAATGATAATTAGCGATCAACTACACGCTCAACTCAGATTTTCTGTTGAACTAATACGCCATTAAATTGGTCTAAAGTTTATTCGTACGTAAAATTTGTAGGTACAAAGTTTTTATACGTACAGATTATTTATCTATAATGTTTCACGTATTATTTTTTATATATAAAGTCTACGTATAAATTCTGTTTTTGCCTTGACTAAAATACTACTCATAATTTATTAGGCCTAAGATTAAACCTAGAGAAGTGCTAAGAGCTGAGGGTCAGACGCTCGGCGGTGTATGGGCTGGGGTGGGATGCGATCGTGCGGCTCCTAACGATAGATCGATCGCTTATTAGCAATCTCCCACTATGGGGCAATTTGGCAATAAAAAATACGGGGTGTAGTGAAAGTGGACATGCGGTAGTGTGGCGGGAATCATGCCGATTGACTGCACTGTGCATTATCGTTGCCTACTCCCTGAGCAACACTAACTCAGTGTCGCTGAACCTCCATGCGAGAGCGGCTTGCCTCTTGACAACTCTGTAAGAGAGGGACTAGCTACATGAAGAGATTCGAACGGGTTGCAAGAGTGGTTGTTCGTTGGGTGACATTAGCCCATGGAGCCATGGGACACCAGCACGCTCTTGCCTTATGTCTTTGGCAATGTCCTTAGCCACGGAGTTCTCGTTGCCTCTTCCTGCGGCACCAACTCAGTGTGAACATCCCTCGAGGCGGCACCGCCGGCATACACTCGTGTCGCCTTCGCTACTAGCGAAATCGAGTATATCTTCACGATTTCTTTTCGAAGATGACATATGTTTGCACGATGTCATGGAGGTCGCTCACCTCGCCGCCGCTGGGGTCTCCGTCCTCGAGCTCGCCCGCGTGGCGATGCCCTCCCCTAGTCCCCTTCTCCTGCGTCGCCGCCGACGTCGACGCCCTCCTTCTTCTCTCGTCTCTAGGCCTCTCCAACCCCGAGCTCGCACGTGCGGAACGCCCTCCCTTCTCCCACGTCATCGTCGTCGTCGCCGCTGCCCTCCTCCTCTCCCGCCTCGCCCACCCTGTCGGCCAGCCTACAGGAAGAGAAGAGTGAGAGAGAGGAGGAACCGAGGAAGGGAAAGAAGAGGGGAAGAGAGGGTGATGACATGTCACCAAACATGTCATGGACCCCACGCTGACTCAGCTGCCACGTTGGATGAAACCGGGGTCAAAATCACCTGAGGACCCAAAATGACCCGGTTTTGTAAATTGAGGGATGACATATATCTTGTTTTACGGTTGGGGGATGATTTTGTAATTCGATGATAAGGTGAGGGACCTGTGATGTACTTTTGGCTACTACTCTAAATAAGCTGGCCCAAATAGGAAAAGATCGCGTCGGCCGGTGGAGAAGCGAAGCCCAAACGAACGCGAGGCGCCTCCGATGTACACGTGGCGCCTCCTCCGCCCCTACAGGTGGCAAGCTCAAAGCCCGAACCCGACCACTCCACTGCTCTGATGCTCTCTCTCTCTCTCTCTTCACGCTTCCCACGCGCGACACGAGGTTGGAGACGCGTCCCGTGACGTCATCGTCGTCCCCGACTCCGGCGAGCCCCGCACCCATGGCGGCGGCGGCCGCGAGGGGCGCCGCCGCGGCCCGCTCCCCGCTCGTCCTCCACCGCCACCCCCACCCCGCGCACCACCGCCGCCTCCGCCTCCTCCCCCTGGTCAGTCACTCCGCCCCCGTCTCATTTCCTCCTCGATCTCTAGCTCCCTCCTCTTGGGAGTAGGCGGGATTGGGAGCTACCTACCTCGTGCTTGATTGAGGTGGTAATTCGGTCAACTACTGATTGGGGTTGCAGGTGGCGGGCGGCGGGGGAGGCTCGCCCCCGCGTGTGGGGAGGAGGATCAGGGCCAGCCGGGAGAAGGGGCGGCGGGTCGGGATTAGGGTTTTCGCGAGGTACAGCCAGGCCCAGGACTTCTCCACTCGCCTCCAAGGTAATCGATTGGTTGATTTCTTTCCCCATCTCTGTATAATTCGATTTGGTACTTGGTTCAAAGCCACTGTTTAGGCCCAGCTTAGTTGAACATTTGAACAAGCGACTGTTTCTCATTAGGCAGGATACGGGTGATGATGTAATATGAAGCGAGAATTTCCGGTGTGGATTTTCACGAGTCGTGAGTTTGTTTTCTGTTCATCGCAGTAGCATAGAGAATGTTATGTATTTTGGGATTCGGGTGGGTAAAATGTGTGTCTCTTCAGATTAATGTACTCCTTATTAACATTCCTCACAAAAATAAGTAGTTATGAACAATCTTGGGATAGCTAGATCACAGATGCATTGAATATTAAGTTTGTTTGTTCTTCGCAAAATCATCCCATGTCTTTGATTTCGTTCAAATGCAGATAGAGCTGGCGAATTGCCTAAGTTGGTTGAGGACCTTCTACAGACATCAATTAGCACAGGGCCACGAGGTGCTTTTAGGTTTGCCCAAGGGATCCAAGCTGTCCTTGGGGTTGGTGGGGAGTGGCTAAATGACTTCTCAAAGGTTATTTCTTGTTTGTGTTATTCATCTATTTTGTCTAAAAACTTGATCTTAGAATTTCTGAGAACTGAAACAATGGAAGCAGCTGTAGACTGAACTACTAATGAACTACTGATGTGTTGAGTTGGCTGAGGTTGTATGGGAGAATATTGGGGATTTAGGGCTAGTCTAGATGTGGATTTTTCATCTATGTAGAAAAGAGGAGGTTAAATTTTTGTTGGTGCACAATGACCAGGTTTATCTAAGATATTTTTTTTATTGATAACTTTGGTTTCAGAAGCGTAATATCCTGCTGTTAATATGATGCAGACAGCCAACACATCAGCAGGAATACCAGCTCAGATGCAGCTGGGTTTGCTTTCTCCTCTTTATCTTAGAAGGCTTTTTGAGCGCATGGGTGCAACTTATATCAAGCTAGGTCAGGTAAGGACATGTTCATACTTTGCGGTTTATGCTATCATCAACTACAAAATGTGTCCATCTCAAAAGAAAAAATAAACTACATGTGTATGTGTTCCTTAATTAATAGATTGTCTTGAATTTCTTAATCTTCTGTACCTTTTGAAAGAAATGCCAGAATTCTTCATTTTACTTTGTATATGTAGCAAACAGAAACAAAGACCACTAATATATCTTTCAGCAACCCAGACAATAGTCAGTTGCTTACTTGTCACTAGACAGGTAGAGTAACCTATCTTTAGAGTGGTCCTTTGGGATGGGCAAAGGGAGAGGAGTTAAAATAGTTATTCAGTTTAATAGTCATATATTTTATGATTATTTCAACCTGGATAGTCAACTGACTGTGGTGGTGCAGTTCGTAGCTTCTGCACCAACTTTGTTTCCTGCAGAGTATGTCGAGGAATTCCAGAACTGTTTTGACCGTGCACCACCTGTTCCATATAGTGAGATTGAGTCAATATTGCGTGAGGAGTTGCAACAGCCGTTGGATAGTGTATATGAATACATTGATCCAGTTCCAATAGCTTCTGCGTCAATAGCACAGGTTTCTGTTGAGACCATCAGAAGTTCTGGACTATTTGTTGTCTGGAGCTAAAGCACTGATATAACTTTATTCTTATCCAGGTTCATGGGGCAAGGTTGAAGAGCTCTCAGAAGGATGTGGTTATCAAGGTCCTCAAGCCTGGTATTGAAGACACTTTGGTGGCTGACCTGAATTTTATCTATGTTGTTGCACGTATTTTGGAATTTCTAAACCCTGAACTACAGAGGACATCACTGGTGAGTTATCGCCTAATGAGTCTTTCACTGGACAGGATTTTTTTCATTCATTGAACAATCACTGGTCCTGGTGGTTCTCGGAGCGCAGGAAACCAAAATTTACTGCTTTCTTTAGTATAATCAGAAGCCAGAAGGTCAAAATATATTTTTGTTTGATTCCTGTATGCAGCAAGCAATGCATGCCATGAAATTGCTCCCATGACCATGAGGATATGTTTTTCTTTTGGTAGTTGAGGCAAGATCATTGAACTTTTCACAGTTGATTTACATGTATTTTTCAATTCTAGCCACTGTGCTAGAGTTGGCACAATTAGGTGCAGAAACTTTTAATATCTATATCCTTAAAATTTATTAGTTGGATTGAAGGCACCACAATATTCCTAAGATCAGAAAAAATATGAGTTTAAAAGATTAACAGAAAATTCAGAAAATTCTCCCAATAATCAAGAGAGAAAGAAATGTCTTGCCACTTGCGTGTTGTTTTGATGGACCTAGATTGTAACCTAGTAGATTAACTATAGTTGTTATAGTTGTGTAACAAATACAACTGCACCTCTAATCATTGATATAAGAGCTTTATAGCAAATGGAATTATTGTTAAATGTAATCATGCAACTGCATGGATATCCCACTAAAAAATTGAATATCGAATAAGGAATATTTCATGGTGGAGCACAATATATCTTGAGCTTGTGACATGAGGAGTTGACTATATATATTATTCACGTACTATAACTAAAAAGGAAAAAAAACAATTAGTTCACACAACCAGAAACAAATGAATACTTTATACTTTGTAGTTCATATATGTGGAAGTAGAGACAGCATATAGCAATCATGAAATTTTCTGTATACTTGGTTATCCAAATTTTGTGGTATCACAAGTTATAGAAGAATATAATAAGAGATGTCCTTATGCTCAGAATTTTATATTATAGGTAGGAATTGTCAAGGATATAAAGGAATCTATGCTTGAAGAAGTTGATTTCAGGAAAGAGGCTATGAATATTGAGGCTTTTCAGAGGTACATCGATGCAATGGGATTTGACAGGCAGGCCAAAGCCCCTTTTGTGTATCGCCACTGTAGCACAAAGCGTGTCCTAACTATGGAAAGATTGTACGGTGTTCCACTCACTGACCTTGATTCTATAAGGTCTCTTGTTCCTGATCCTGAGCTGACTTTAGTCACTGCACTTAATGTCTGGTATGCTCCATGCGTCCTTGTGATTCCATACATCATATATTTGGGTATTTCTGCCATTCATTGCCTTATTCAATCCTCAGAATAGGCATGTTGACATATGTGCAAAATGTGCAGGTTTGGAAGCTTGATTTCATGTGAATCCTTCCATGCAGATGTGCATGCAGGAAATTTATGGTTGCTCCGAGATGGACGTGTTGGATTTCTTGATTTTGGTATGTAACATATTCTCCAATCTCCACGGTGGCACGGTTGCTCTATATCTCATTAGGCAATTTAGGATGCACCTTGTATTTGCTAAAAAAGGAAATATTCTGGCCTTTTAATTCTTACATTATCTATTAGTCAAAACACAAAGTGGTCAAGAAAGTTTATCACTATTGGTTAATACCATTTCACAGGAATTGTTGGCCGGATATCGCCAAGGACCTGGGCTGCAATGGAGGTCTTTTTGGCTTCATTTGCAACTGACGATTATAATGCTATGGCATCAGCCCTTTCTGAAATGGGTGCTACAGGGAATGATATAAATGTTAATGAATTTGCAAAGGACTTGGAAAAAATATTCTCATCAATACAGGTAATATTTCCCAAAATAGTAGGTTATTTGATGTCATGAAGGCCTGGTTATCCCGTGAACATGGTGACCCAATTTCGACTGTTGAAGTGCCAAAAATGATGCCAGGGTGAAACCTGGGCTGTGTTTCACACCAAAATTGGAAGTTTGGTTAAAATTGGAACGATGTGACGGAAAAGTTGGAAGTTTGTGTGTGTAGGAAAGTATTGATGTGATGGAAAAGTTGGAAGTTTGAAGAAAAACTTTGGAACTAAACACGGCGCTGGTCTGGCAGTAGTAAAATGCTGAATGCAAGCAAAAGTGGCTTATGGACAGGAATTTTTGTGGCTACTGGCTAGTCAAATTTGGATATCGTTCTTTAGTTAGTGTTTTACCACTTATCTCGTGGTTAATTTTCAATTGCATTCTCATTTGTGCGCAGGATTTGGATACTGAAGTCATAGTTGCAACAGCAAGAACTCCTGATGCTACAGCAGTATCGGCTAATGTTGTCGTTGACGAGAGACAGATGAATGCATTGTTTCTTGATCTGGTGAGCTACTTTCTTTTCTCTCTCGGTTAGAACAAGGTAGAGAGAACTTCTACCTTATACATTCGTATCACTGTATGTTCTTGTTGGTAAATGTTGCCTGCCAGCGTGTATTGTTTTCACGAAAGAAGAGAGATGAGGGAAAAAAAACAATGCTGACAATTCTGTTGCTCTGCGTCTTCCAGGTGAGGGTCAGCGAGTCGTATGGATTGAAATTTCCTCGCGAATTCGCTCTTCTGATGAAGCAGCTTCTGTATTTTGATCGCTACACAAGATTGTTGGCTCCCAGCATGAACATGCTGCGAGATGAGAGGGTTAACATTAGCTCCCGCCAACAGGCCAGAAGAGTAGATCGTTTCCAGTGACCGATGCTTGTGATACACTGACAAGTAGTACGTAACAAGCTCGTGTAAGTGTAACCTACTAACTGTATATATTTTCACCAGATCAACATAGGAATGAACCGCAGTGCAGCGGCCAAGGAAAATTTGGACGAGTATAACTGGACATTTTCATAGTAGCAAGTCGCTCTGTAAAAGGTGTACGTTAAGATGGAAGTAAAATGTAGAGAAAATAGAACTGCCGGGGCCGCTGGGCTGACTCCACATCATTTTTCTGAATTCTTTCTTTACTGCTCTCCTCACAAGCCGGCGCTGCGTAAAGAAGGCCAGTTTGGAAAACATGATTATTTTGACCGATTATACTCTAGTGGATTATTAAGATGATTATAGATGTAAATTAAATATTTTGATAAATAAGCTTAATAAATAGCTTAGAATAAATAAATTGGTTAGAATAAAATGGAGTGTTTTAAAGAAAACGTATTTTTATAGACGTAGAGCAAATGGTTTGGGACAATAATCCTAGAAACGCTTCATATCGAGCGTACGGTAGTGCATGCCTCGGACGCCCTCCTCCCCCGTCTTCTCTCCCCCATGCCCCTCCTCATCTCTCTCACGCCGACAGTTTCTTCGTGCTCACAATCTACAACCTTGGCGAGTTACCGCCTAAGCGCATCGTCCCACTATAGCTGTTTGAGAAGGGTTCTAGCTAGCTATTATATTTGCTCTCATACAGTGCAATTTAGCCGCTATAGCTTCATTTAACCTGATATATATAGCTGTTTGAAAAGCTAACCGCTAAAACATTGATCGCCAACCAGCCATTGAGAGCTGGGCCGGCAAACGAGCTGATCTTGTGCTCGGCGAGTGCCGTGCAGAGGTCTTGTTCAGGCAGGCTGGAGCTGAACTGACCCAGAGCCTCAAGCTCGGGGAGAGGATCGATGACCTCGATCGGTGATCACTCGCTCTTCTTGGGGGCGAAAGACTTCCCGGCGTTCAGGCCAAACTGCGACTGCGTACATGTACTTCGCGCAGCATGATCGAGGAGCCAATAATGCATCAGGACGGTTCATCATGGGCAGTTGTGCTCGATTAATTTGGGATCAGATACTTACTTTCCAAGATATACCATATACTCTCTCTGTTTCTAAATGTTTGACACCGTTGACTTTTTAGTACATATTTGACCGTTCGTCTTATTCAAAAACTTTTGTGAAATATGTAAAATTATATGCCTACATGAAAATATATTTAACAATGAATCAAATGATCGGAAAATAATTAATAATTACTTAAAATTTTTAAATAAGACGAACGGTCAAACATGTGCTAAAAAGTCAACGGTGTCAAACATTTCGAAACGGAGGGAGTACCATTGTTGCAGAAGCTGACCTTCTAGCATCAGCAAAGCCCCTGTTGAGGACTTGAGGGAGAGTAAAGCTGCCTTCTCTAGCTAAGCTCCTCCACCATATTTGACTTTATTTTGGTTAAAGAAACCTGTAAAACTTTGACCATCAATAGCTCTCAAAATATTTAAGCTCCTCCGCCTGTTCCAATGAGATTGAGTCAAATATCGTATGTGGAGTTCCAACGGGATCCAGTGCCAATAGCTTCTGCATCGATAGTACAGGTTTCTGTTTGTCTGGAGCTAAAGCATTGAGAAAACCTTTATGCTCATCCATGTTCAGAAGGATGTGGCCAAACACTTTTATATACCCACTCAGCTTCTATAGGAGGCAGCTTCCACTGGAGTTGGAATTTAGAGTTGAGAGTTTAAGTTTGGAATTCTACCAAATAGGGCCTAAGGTCCTGAAGCCTGGTACTGAAGAGTGAAGACACTCTGGTTGCTGACCTGAATTTTATCTATGTTTTTGCAAGTGTTTTGGAATTTCTTAACCCTGAACTACAGAGGACGAGTTATTATCTCCTAATTAGTCTTTCACTGGATAACATTTTTTCATTCGAAAAATGTTTTTTTAGTTAGATGCATTGTCCGGAAGAAACCTCGTTTTTATGAAACAATCACTTGTCCATGTGGTTCTCGAAGTGGAGGAAACAGAAATTTACTGGCTTCATTAGTATAATCAGAAAGTCACAGAATCTATTTATGTTTGATTCGTGTATGCAGCATGCCATCAGGTTCATTGTTCTGTTATGTTACTGCTTGTGATATAGAGACAGTAAAAAGTTTGTGTAACCTTGAACTGTATATATTTCACCGAATCAAAATAGAAATGAACCGCAATAAGAATAATCAATGGAAATTTGTACAATTGAACATTTCATAGAGCAGCTAATTTGCTTGTAAAAGGTATATGTTTAAGACTAATGTAAAATCTGTGTAGATGTAAAGATAGGCTGCCTCCATTTTTTTTTCTTTTTTTCTTTATTTTTTAGAAGATGCTACTGACACTCAATTAACCTAGAGTGTTATGCTTACAGTTATTAGTCAAATCCAACTAATAAAACCTAGAGTATGAGGTCAAAATCTACTTTTGTTTGATTCGTGTATGCAGCACGCCAGCATGTAATTTTTTTCATCATGAAAAAAGGAGATGAGGAAAAACATGCTGACTATTGCTACCCAAGATTGTTGATTCCCAGCATGAACATATGCTGCGAGATGAGAGGCCTCAGTAATCGCGAGATGAGAGGCCTCAGTAATCAATGGTTACTGCTTCTGATAAAAAGACAGTATAAAGTGGGGTGTAACCTTGAACTGTATTCATTTCACCATTATCAACATTGGAATGAACTGCTGCAATACAGAATCAAAGAAAATTTGAGCAATAGTAGCAATTAATTTGCTTGTAAAAGGTGTATGTTTAAAGATTAATGTAAAATCTATGGATGTAAAGGAAGCCTGACTCCATTTTTTTTTCTGAATTCTGTTCCCGGATTGTTTACTATTGGCAGTTCAGAAAACTGCTTTCTCTAAAACTAATCCAGAAGGATAAATGTTTCTCATGGAGAACACCATTCGTTTCAAAACAATCAGTTGACTCGTAAGTGTTGACTACTCATGAGACATTCACTTCTTGTTCAATGGATTATTTGTAAAGGCCCCATTATTTACCTTATATGATCAGCCGTTGCCAAAATTTAAATTTTAAATTGATTTTGAAGTTTTTTGGTTAAAATTTATTTTTCCGCATTAGCTTTTAAATTGTTTAAGAATGTATATACAAAAGTTTAACTCACGTATTATTATTATTTTGCTACTAGTGCGCCATACGGCGTATTATCCTCATATGCCCAACAGATGGGGGCCTAACCTTTTTCAAATAATGATAATAATAATTGCTGACCCCAATCCCATATGTTTTATGCAGAAATTGCATGATTATCTTCCCTGCCTGCCTAACACAGATGCATCATCAGCTCTAATTAAACAATTGGACCACCCTAATTCTGATAAATGTTCGGTAACACAGTATGTACAGACCTCCTAATATTCAAACAAAACAATAGCCTAAGCTCATAAAGGAGTCAGGTACCACCTACATTCCTACAACATCTCATATAACCTAAGCAGAAGAATCATTCGGTTCATTCAGTTTCAGAAGGTTCCATGACTTGCATTGCCATAGTTTCTTCGCCATCAGAAGCTTCTCCTGACTTCGTTTTCTTGTGAGCAGGGTTTTCTTGACGATGATGAAGAGGTTCCTGCTGATCAATTGCTGGCCTACTCTCAGTTTCAGAAGGTTGCTTCGCTTGCCTTGCATTAGCCTTTCCCCCATCAGAAGCTTCTTTTGACTTCGATTTCTTGGGAGCACGATTTTCCCGACGATCAAGAGGTTCCTGCAGATCAGTTGCTTGACTGCTTTCGGTTTCAGAAGGTTGTGTGATTTGCGTCGCCGTAGGGCTACCTTCTTCATCAGATGCTTCCCTGGACTTTCTTTTCTTGAAAACAAAACGGTCTAAATCATCATTCTGCTCATCAGAAACTTCATCACCACACTCAGCCTGAGACTGACTTGCACATACATCATTCTCAATGCTGCCCTCCCGAACATCAGATTCTCTTGGCTCAATGACTGATTGCGGATCCTTGGAAGTTGACCTGTTTGAAGAATTACCATTGGTTGCATCCAACAGAGAATCTAACTGTGTTCTAACAAAAATTGCTACGGCAACTGCATGGTCACTAATCAAAGTGTCACTGGGTGGGCAATGAACAACATTAGCCAGTGCCTGGTAATAGCGAAACAGTGCCAAGGATGGTGGTGCCAGCCCCCTTTGGCGGAAGACTTTAGTTGACTTAATGGCATGTTTGCAAATGTTTCCCTTCCTGGACCAGCTACAATCACACAATGCAAGATCAGAACCTGGATTCACTATGACATGGGACCTCTCCTTGTTTTTCTGGCAAACCACTCTGGCGCAATTGCCTTCGACAACAACATCAGAATCTGGGATTTGCAATCCCTGCTGCCATGGATTTGGGCCACTTTTCCACTCACTCCTCCAGTAACGAGAAAAGTTGTCCTTACCAGAATATTCATCCAACCAGTAGTAGGAATGAACCTTCGTACCCAGCTTATGAACCAACCAATCTGCACGCTGGTATACTCTTTCATTTGCCTCATTCAATAGCCTGAGTTTTAGCAGGTGATGGTAGCTCTCGATTGCTGAAGCAACCTCAGTAGTAGCCAACGGGGTGGTTCTTAACATAGTTATCCATGACCCTGGAATACATTCGGCAGTCAGCACTAGCAGATTAAATAGTGATAGAAAACTTCATCAAATACCAGTAGACTCAAACAACGGAAACTGAAATTCAGATGTGGGCTAAGCAAATGTGATACAGGAAAGAGACATGGACCAACCAAGTCTTGGAAACCATAGAGCTCTGAAGTAGTCTAGAAAACCAGCACAATCAACAAAATCTTCCAGAAAGGCTTCAAATAATTCCATGCCACCATTTCCTCTGCAGATATTGCAGATTAACTCCCCAAGTCGTTTAGCCATCATCGGACGCTTCTCAATATCTGGGCACTTCTTCATTAAATTTTTATGCCAAGCATGCCTTATGCGCCATGGGCTAATCAGCACAGGGCACTGGAATACTTCCCTGTTCAGCATGCTATTACACTCAGGAACTGCAACCCCAGAAAGCGTATAGTAATGCACTAGATTAAAATAGAAAAGCATCATTTACCTTATCGTGCGCACATCTGCAAAGGGATCATCAATAATAAAGCCACCCAACTGCCATGTTGGATCTTTTGTACGAACTCGATCATAAAGGGCACCCATCCATCTATATGCTTCACCATGTGAAAAATTCGGAGTTATGATCCAAGCAACAGGAATTGCATTTTTCTGCTTGTCGAAAACAAGGAGGCTATGTACAGGATACTGCAAAATGGTAAATAGAAATGCTACCATGAAATCAAGCAAACCTTAAAGCACTACTGGAACAAAAATGAAACAACTGTCATTGACAAACCTTTAATTTGTTTGTTCCAAACTTTGAATCAGAAGCCAATAAACTACGGTTGCCATACTGAATCATCTGCTGGAGCTGCCAATCTGTCTGGATGCCCACGATAAAGGTGTCCTTATCTGAAAAGTCCTCATACAAAAATATATGGTTTTGGTGATTTTCAACCCATATGTTAATGCTTATAGCATCATCGTCATCAAGTTCGTAAACAGAACGACGAATTTTCCTTTCCAACCTCCTAACATATCTGTGAGTAAGAAGACCATCTCGGTTTGATGGTCCTCCTTGCTTTTCGATCATTTCTGTATGTCTCTGCATTATGGTCTCCACTGGAATACCAACACAGAGCAAAGACATAATCTGAAGACGAAGTTCATCTGATATGTAAGGCGCAAACATGGCCTTCGTCCCAATAGCCATATTGTCCATGGGACCATGGCAGGGCTTCCCTATCTTATCTACATGCTTATCATGGTTATATATCACAAGAGCGACAGATGGTTCAGCAATCAAACGCTTCACAATAAAATGGCAAATACAGCCCCTCTTTGTATGAGGACGACCAGCAGGTGTTTTCCTCTTTGTTGAAGAGTTCCTGCTAGGGCGGACAGAGCCACCCTTTCTATAATCATCTGGACCAAAAGAACACCAATACCTGAAATTAATGGTATCATGAGGTTCAAAAGCTTAATGTAAATTATAACCTATTTAACAGAGCATATCTAATGTTAAGAGACATAAATAGAAGGAGCATTATCAGCCATTTAAAAGATAAGATCGATTTAACAAATAGCAATAATAAATTTGTTCTAGTTTACAAGATGAATAAGAAGCCCAGGTTCACATTCCAGTTTAAAAATTAGTCGGACAGAAATGCATAATGCTTACATTTACTTACAGAATATACTCGAGTATCCCATCAACTTTTGGTTTGCAGTTCATTGTTGGTGGACGCCTTCGCCGTGCTTCTACATGAAATCTTGTTGGGCACTCTTTGTTGTTTGATTCTCCTCTAACAAAATCATTCACCCTTGAAAATGGAATAAGCGCAAGCCTGTCCATTGAGTCCTTCCATCCCTCCACCCTGGACCACATGATATCTGATGCCGAAAACTCTGGCGTGGGTGGATTCTGAACTGGAAGAGTCAAAATTTCATCCCACCTAGCCATCTGCATTTGCATAGGAATCATCACAAATAATCAACGAAATCAAAGCCAAAGTAGCATATATTTTTTTAAGAAAAAAAAAAGCTATGGTCTGTGCAAAGAGGACAGCATAGACAAACAAAAAAAAGAGCATATATTTGTAAGACAGTTACACCTAAACCAAGTGTCATGTTATGCCTTCGAAAATTTAAACATTAGTGTTGTTCACATCACATGATTAAAAACAAATACTTGCAGTTGAATCGAAAAGAGCATATCCACAATCTCAGTAGGTGATTCAAGCACCCCAAGACAAGGGGAAGTTCGCATTAGATTTTGTGGTATGCTAAGACTGTTAGACATGAATCAGCGGTATCCTTTCCACGTTCATCCTTTTCTAAGAACCCATAAGTAAACCTTCTTTTTTCTCAAGCCGGGCATTCGATAACTTGCATTCTGGTTGCAAGAGTGCTGTAACAGCATTACTACCTCTGAATGAATCAACTCGCTAGCAAACCAGACATTTCTAAGCAATCCCCTCACCCAAGAACCTGCACCGTTGGCTACACTTGTTCAAGTCCTAACCCTCCTCAAACTCCCCCATATTGGCCTACGCACGCCTTAACCCTTCTCCAAAACTCACCAATCGCGCAAGTCAATGGTGACGACGCACGCAAGCCAACTAAAACCTAGTATATGCTCTACGATATTGCAGCGGAAATATTCCAATTCCACTGGAATGGATTCTTTTTGGGAAGCTGACACAGAAGCCCCCAGATCTACAAGAGAAGCTAGTTCTATGGGTAGAGGGAGGGGATAGTGTGGAGGTAGGTATGGGTGCTCACCGGTGGCGGCGGCGGCGGCGGCGGCGGTGGCGCTGCTCCCTTCGCTGGATGGAGGCGGTGGAGACGGGAAGGCCGTGGGGACGGGGAGATCGACTGGCTAGGGCGCACGCACGCTGAGGCTCGAGGCCCAATCACATGTGTATGGGCTTTTCCTGTTTCCAAGGGAGGCTAAATAGACTTATTCATTGCTGATGGACCATGGGACCAGGCTGAAAAATAGACTGCCGGTCCTTAGAGTTAGAGCGTGGTGTCACTTAGTTCCATGGTCTTGTAAAATCGACGTTAAGACCCATGAACTTGTTTAAGTGAATCATTGCGGTTCAAAGCAGTCTGACCAGAATTTCCGTCTTGCGTGGTTCTCCATCGTGGCCGCATATTTGCAATTAGGTCCCTCCACGCCCGTTCCACCCCTCCTCCCCAAATCTTAAGGGCTGGCGCCACCGCCTGCAGCAGCCTACGATTGCCGACGCCCAATTGCCGTGTTGGAGAGCTGGCCACCGCTAGCTCAAGTGCTTGTAGACGAGATAGCCATATGGCTACCAAGCTCATCCCCAACCATCGTCAACGAGCTAGCCCTGCCCGCGGGCCGCTGGGTATGAGGTCGACGAGGTGGCCGTCGGGAGCTCGATAGTGAATCAGGAGTCGTGTCCACGGCGTGGCATCAGACGAGCCGGCCAAGAGCCAGAACGGTGAGGGAGGCAGCAGCGACCGACGACTTAGAGGTGGAGAAGCGGAATCCCCAGCGCGAACTCGCCGCTCGTGGCCATGGCTCGCCATCATTGAGGCCACCACCTGGCAGATGACAGCGACGGACGGATCAGGCGAGGGAGAGGGATGCAGATGAGATGTGCAGTGCGGAGGCCCTCCCCTTCCCCTTGTGCCATCTCCCATCTCATCCGCCAAATTGGCTAGCTCAGCTCCAGGCCCCAGCTGTCGTCGTCGAGGCCCTCCGCTTTACACCATCTCCTCCACCACTCCGGCTAGCTCCACCCCAGCCATCATCGTCGAGGCCCTCTATTTTCCATCTCCTCTGCCGCTCCGGCTAGCTCCTCCCTAGCAGCCTTCGTCGACCTCCTTCACTTTCCCCCATCTCATCTGTTGTTCCTGCTAGCTTCGTCGTTGTCGTCTTCATCGGCGAGCCAAGGTCGTGAAGCGAGCACCTCGTGCGGTAGCAATTAGCAGACACAATGAGAAGAAGAAAGGAAAATAAAAAGGGGAAGACTTGGGGGAGGAGGGATGGATTGGCCGCAGAGGGGCTTAAATGCAAATATAGGGCCACACTAGACAGCCACGTAGGACGATCAACCCGGTCAAACGTGTTTTGGATTGTAATGATTCACTTAAACAACCCGATCAGACAAGGTTTACGTCAATTTTACAAGATCGTTGACCTAAGTGACACCATGTTTCAACTTTAAGGATCGGCGGTGTATTTTACTAAGAAAACAAGTAACGGTAAGTTGGTAAACGGACTTGCCCAAAATAGTCTAATGGGAAATTCACTTTATCGAAGGCTTTACTTCTGGTCCATTCACTTTATCCCATTTGGACATGTCATCGCAGGCCAGATATTAAATTTGTATTCTCTAGAAGATGCCTCTAAAATGTAACATATTGGAAGAACCGACTGAGCAGATATTCTCTCACTCCTGAAGCATGATATATACAACGGATGCTCGTGAGATCCCCCATCTTTTGCAGTCACAATTTTTAGCATTAATGTCAAACAATGTACTTAGAATTCATATGTTCTACCTAAAAATAGTACCTTTTTCTAGCTAGCAAAGCATAACATGTGTTCACCATATCTGTATTCTTCAACACCTTCTTCCTCATCTTGGGGCATATAGGCTATTGCTATTGCTTTGCCATTTCTTTATGCTTATTGTATTACCTACTCATCAGTTGACCTTTGATTCTTTCTAGCATTTTGAGGATTGGTAAGTCTCTAGCCTCTGAGATGTACTTGCTGAATGCTTCACAATTATTGTTCAGTAAGATGTCACACATAGGGAACTCACCGAAACACACTCTGACCTTGCGGAGGCGAAATCGAAGTATTCATAAATCTCCCATGGCACACCACAAGTCCACAACCTCCTGAGCGCTCACCGCTGACTCTTAGCCATATAGGATACTTTCTCCAAGAGTAACAAACACAGTCGATTATTTGCTTACTATAAACTCTCAAGTGCTCAAATGGATGGAGTGTATCTCTCTTGTTCTCAATCCAACTCTTTCCTCTTCTCAAATCCTTCTCATAGAAAGCTACTCCAAGGTAAGGGGATGAGGAAATACTATTTAGTTTTGGATATAACTCACTTTTGCAAACCCCCCCCCCCAACCAGTAGAAAAGAAAGGATGAGGGATTTAAACAACATATCCAGATTTTTGCCATTGGGATAAAAAGATTACAACATCATAAATTCTGATGTGGACATCAGAACTTCCGGTCATTTCAAAAAGAAAAACCTAACAGTAACAACACACATGCTTTGACCTAGGATTTTACACATAAGAAATTCTGATGCACAAATTAAAACTTCCGATAATTTGAAGCCATCCAAACTGAGAGCAAGAACTTTGGAGATATCAAACATTTTAATACTCAAAAATCTAGATATTCACATTGAAAAATCTATTCATAAACCTTGAACACAACCCAAAAGCTTAACTTTGAAGAAAAAAGGGACATTCCATTAAACTGCCACATAAGAGCTTCTAGTATTACTCAAACCATAATGACTTGCTTTGAAGTCTGTTTTTAATGATCGTGAACTTTATAGAAAGCTCACTCAGAGGGTTACCCGGCCAAACTAAAACACAAGGTCTAAAATCACTTGAACGATACGGCAATACTTGAGTTTCTCTCAACAAGCACTTCGATAGATCATTTTGAGTACCAAGACATATACAAACACATCAATGATTGCACCCCTCTTAATAGGTATTCATATATTCAAATGTAAATAGAAAAAAAAAATATACCAATAGAAATACATTAATGTTTATTTGTCAATACCAAAACCATTTCTTCTTTCATACTTAAAATGATTGATGTGGAGTACTCATAGATTCAAAATTTCAAATGGCTTTATACGGTCCATCATGACAAAATCATCCCTTGCCCTTCAAGATCGTTTGGTCCATCGCAGCTGAGTATTGCATTCCCTTTACCTGTCTCGCCATAGATATTCACTTTGTTCTTCGCATTTCCAATATTTTCACTTTGTAATTTTGTTCATCAATTTGAATTTTCCATTTCACTTTGTTTTTGTTGATTGATAGTTTGAAATCCATCTTCTAGATCTTCATCTATTCTCTTGACAGCAAGCTTGATCATGAATTGAGAAAATTTTATCTTTCACACCATTTTCTTCTTGATCATGCTTCTCTTCTCATGAAGTAACTTGAAAACCAATGGCTGATGTCTACCTTGAAGTTCTTCGTAGAGCATCTTAATTGTCATCAACTTCACATATGGTATTTGTTGGCAGTTGTTAAACACCATTTTGACCCCAAGCTTCGGCAATAGAATGGGTGAAACAATGTTCAATTCATCCATTTACTTTAGATTAATGAATCACCATGAGCTTTATTGTTCGTTACTTCGTTAGTTATTTTGTAGGTACTATCCAAATAAAGATGAAATGTGGAATTTCAAATGTTTGACCAAATCTTGTCCTAAATGACGTATGTTTAGTGACAATTTTGTTCGTTGGGGTCACTCTTCAACAGTGAGATCTTATTAACCTTGCCTTTAAGACTTTGGTCCAGCTTTTAATTTTTTTTTGATACAAAGTATAATATAAATTATTAATATTGGTTTGAATAAAGTATATTGTATAGCTAAGTGATAATTTCACGGAAACATAACCCTAGCATCTAAGTGCAATAAATACAATCAATTAAATTCAGTTGTAACATGTTACAACCTTAACAATCGAACCGCCTCTAACACCACGATATAATCGGTCCAATCGTAAGATTCAATAACAACATTACTAATAAAAAAAAGTTAACGCGTGTAGTTACAATACAAATAGATAGCAAAAAAATCCATGCAGTAAAGAAGTAAACATCAATCGTCACTAACACCACAAAACCACAATACAACCAGTTCGATCATAGAATTAAATAACGACATCACTACTTTTAAAAAGAATATAAGAAGTAATATGTTTAAATAGATACCACTAAAAATTATAGTATGTAAATAAAGAGCTAAGCACCAAAATTAACAGCTATTGTTGCCTCCAATCCATTAACCACTTGCCATCTATAGATGGCTGTCTCCAGCCACACCAGTGACCAGCCAAGCAAAACACAGCTTTTGCTTGATTACTTCCTTCCAGAAACGGCAGCCCAGGCTTCGTTCAAACTCACTCACAGCTAAGCCTTTCCTTAACCCCGTTTGAATTTCCGAGCTTGCGTCGAATATTCCGGATGCCCATCCCCACCACCAAGGGCACCCTCGTCATTTCCCCATCCCCCACCCCGACCGAATATGCCCCGCGCGGCGGTCGCCCCGCCACGTGGACGCGCCCCCACCCGACGAACGAGATTCCTCGCGGGTGCCCCCGGCCGCGTAATTACCAAACTACCCATTCTACTATTCCGCTTTTATAATATAGCTGCCTCTTCGTCTTCTTCTTCCCCAATTTCCCCTTCTCCTCTCCTTCTCTTCCCGCTTTGCTTCCCAATTTCTCCACGCCACCGAGCAATTCGTGAGAGGGAGAAGGGATCGGAAACCCTAACCCTAGCGGTGGGAGCCGCCATGGATGCGCGGATGCGGTGAGCGGGGGTGGTTTTCTTGGTGGGTGAGGCGAGGTGGTTGGGGGTATGGGTGGGGGGAGGAGGAGGAGGAGCGCGGCGATGGCGATGGAGGGGGAGGTGGAGGGTGGTGGGAGGAGGCGGGTGGTGCGGATCATCTTCCGCGACGAGGACGCGACGGATTCGTCGAGCAGTGAGGAGGAGGGGGAGGGGGAGGTGGTGGCGGCGAGGCGGGTGGTGGTGAAGCGGACGCGGCTGCGGTGCCAGGAGGTGGAGAGGAGGTTCACCGGCGTGCGGCGGCGGCCGTGGGGGAGGTGGGCGGCGGAGATCCGCGACCCCAAGGAGAACGGGCGGCGCGTGTGGCTCGGCACCTTCGACACCGCCGAGGCCGCCGCCGCCGCCTACGACGACGCCTGCCTCCGCCTCCGCGGCCCCGGCGCCGCCCTCAACCTCCCCTCCCGCCGCTGCGTCGCTCCCGCTCCGCCTCCACCGCCTCCTCCGCCGCCGCCGACGGCCGAGGAGAAGAAGCTGCTGCTGTTCCCGCCGCCGCTGCCTCCGAGGAAGAAGGCGATGCTATTCCCGCTGCCGCTGCCGCCGAGGAAGAAGCCGCTGCTGTACCCGCCGCCGCTGCCGCCGAAGAAGAAGCCGCTACCACCACCATCACCACCGCCACAGCCGCCGCTGCCGGAGAAGGAGAACACCCCGCTCCCGCCGCTGCTGCTGCCTCCAAAGAAGAAGCCGCTTCCGCCGCCGTCACCGACAGCGGCAGCGAAGGAGGAGCCCATCGAGCTCGAGCATGCGGCGCCGCCGCCGCCTTTCGTGCCCCGGCCGGTGTGGCCCCTCCTGGCCAGCGGCGGCGGCGGGAAGCGGAAGAAGCAGTCGGGCTGCGGCGGCCGCATCCCCGCCCTCAACACCGCCGCCGCCGCCGTCGAGGAGACCGGCCGCGCCTGATCCTCCTCCCCGGCGACATGGATGCCACCAAAAAAAAACTAAAAAAAATAAAAAAAAACAAATAACACCAACCATCCTAATGTGAAAAGCTTAGTGGATCATTCCTTTTGATGTGATTCGATGATGCTGTTAATCTAAATCTGATCTGATGCGATTATCTTCTTTTTTTATTTTTTGTACATACATATGCTTTGCTTCTCCTGCATTAGGATCTTGGGAGAAACTCAAAAACTGATCTGTAATATTTTCTGTAATATCATCTCGTCTCATGTAGTTGTGACATTGTGGTGTTGACATTGTAACGAATCGGTCGATTCGAAGAGAACTTGTGGAAAAAGAATCGAGTCAAGATTGATTCAAAGCCTGGTTTCGTTTCGTTTCTTGGATGTTGTCAAAAAGCTTTGGTTCTGTTTGAAGTGCTTCTATAATCTTCAGCTGTCAAGCTTCTCTAAACAATTTAGATTTTCGCTCGGTTTATGAGAAGCTGCTCGGTTTTTAAGAAACTGTAGTTGTAAAATCTTTAGTTTCTCTATATTTTATCCGTTATTTCTTAGAATTTTAGTTGTAGAAGGTCGTTCAGATTTTCGCCCGGTTTATAAGAAGCTACTTAATTTCTGAGAAGCTGTAGTTGTAAAATTTTTAGCTTCTCTATATTTTACTTGTTGTTTCTTAGAATTTTAGTTGTAGAATCTTCAGCTTCTCTTTCTTATTAGTTGTTTTTTAAAATTTTAAACTCCTCAACCAAGGTCATAGACTCATCTGGTTTGCTTGGTAGAGGGTAAAAAAGAGACTAGTTTTTTAAGGATGAGTTGGATGCTGTCATCCTGGCGTTCCTGTGGCTGTGGTCCAAGCCGTTGGATTTGGGGCGTGTGGTTGAGATGAGATGAGATGAGATGACCGCAGCAAGATTATTATCTTCCTTTTCTTCTGTTTGTTTAGTGCGTGTGCACGTGCATTCTTCTTGCTTTTCTGCTACTGCTGCTGATGTCTGCCAGCAGCAGGAGTGAGTATCTTGACATCGAGTTTTTGCAGTCGCAGGTTGGTCATATGGATTGCAGGTGTAAAAAAGAAAAAAAATACATGGGAGATTGCTTCTTTTAGTACTAGTCGTGTGATGGAGAAACAAAAATAAAAGCTTACTTTCTTTTTCGATCCGTTGTGTTCAGCAGTAGTTTATTTTTATGTGTGACTTGGAAATATCTCATGTTTGTTGGCTACGGTCTGCACCACTGTTTCTGTATAGCTGAATACATCCATGTATGTGGTTGTGCTAGTATTGGAAAAATCTTGGAGAGTAGGATAAATACTTGTCCACCCTGACGAAATCAGAAATTGTCGAGACTTATGACTCGAGTAGGACTCAACTGGTGAGATATTAATTTTTTTAACACATTACATAGTGGTTTATGAAGATTTAAATATAATTATGGAGGCAAACCTAGAGCTTAAGTTCAAGCTGATTTTGGATTACCTACGCCCCTGCTTGTTTATGGCTGCAAATGTTGGAAACATCTTAGAGGATGATTTTTTTTTTAAAAAAAACAAATTACCATTAGGTTGATTTAGATTTAGGGAGTAGGAGATATGGTGATACCATGGTCTCACCACTATTACCACCTTATTTTCTTTTCATGGATAAAGAAAGCGTGATTGTATTGAATTTTTTTTATTTATAATTTTTTTTATTAAAAGTTTTACAAAAATAATTTTCCATTTTGAAAATTGACGGAAATAGTCGCCTACCGCCCTCTGGGAGGGCGATTTTTAAAAATCGCCCTCCCAGAGGGCGGCGAAAATGACGTGGCAGACGGCCGTTCGCTCTCGGGCGACGGCCGTCAACGAAATTTGCAGGCGGCCCCCTTGCCGCCCTCCGCGAGGGCGATTTTGTACTGTGCGGGGGGCCGCCTGCAAATGGGCGGCGAGGGGGGGCATGGAAATTTGCAGGCGGCCCCCTTGCCGCCCTGGGGGAGGGCGATTTTGTACTGTGCTCTATATTTTTTTTATATAAATATCAATAGTTATCAAATCTTTTTATATTGAAAACTATACAAGATTAAAATCTCCAAGATTGGTAAAATACAATTTTATTATTTTTTAGGGCATATTTGGAATGTTACCGTACAAATATTTTGTTAATGCCAAAATATAAGCAAGTTTTGGCACTACCAAATATTTGGTAAGGTAAAATTGCATTTGATCATATTTGGTTTGCTGCCAAAATGTAAAATTGTAGTGAAGAATGTTGTACATAATCTCAATTCTAGATTACGTATTACCAATTAATAGGCTTCCATTTTCGTGTGTGGTGTGGTAGTGGGAAAGAAGATATGAAGAGGTTGCCTTCAGATTGTCAATTATATAGCGTCGTTTTCACTGCAATATATGTGAACTCAATGAGATACATTATTCATTAGATGTGACAAGACGATCACGCGTGGGCGTGATTCACTTTATGTCAACAGGCAGCGCCGAAAGTTGATAGTGATAACTCGAGCTGCCGCTTTTCATGTGTGCTGTTGTGGACTGTGCGCGCTACTGGATATGGCACTACCGTGAAGCGCCGAAAGTGTGTTGTTGTGAGCATAAGTTGTTCAAGCACCATACGAATGAAAAGAACTACGTAGACGAGACAAACACAAGTAGTACTGCAGTAGTAATAGCAAAAGTAGTACTGCTTTACAAGTTTGTAAGCCAAAAGAAACGGTCACATAAGGACTGAAGAGGTAGAACACTACTGACGAGGCCTCTTACCCCTGTCCCTCCTACCCTGCGCCCTAATGTGCCCCTGGGAGTACGTGAGTCGGTCCGGGGGTACGGCACGGCCAACCCGTCCTGCCTGTACAGGTGTGACCTCTGGCTGCTCCTGAGTGTGCGCCTCTGGAGCTCCTCCAAGCTGAGAGGAGCCTAGTACGTCCTGGTGGTCTGCACCGTGCAAGTCGTCGTCGTAGAACTGGCTAGTAGGACCAGTCCTACCGGCGTGAGACGAAGAGGCCCCAGTACCGAAGATCCCGGCTGCAAATCCTGCTGGACAAGGACCATCAGTTTCGTATAGGTATTTAACAGTATTAATAAAAAGTAAAGTACCGTGTGGGCGAGGGATCGACGCTCCGTGAGAGGAAGAGCTGGCGAACGCGCCTAAAGAGGTGGCGAACGCCCCTGCGGAGCTCGCGGAAGCGCCGGTCGTGCCTGCGAACGCGCTCGAAGGCATACGAGGTCCTGCGATGAGGAAACGTGCAGTTAAAACATGGTGACACATTCGTGCAAAAGCTGAAACAAAAATGAACTAATATCTGGGCTGAACTGTACCGTGCGAAACCGGTGCTGTAGGTCGCACTGCTCCGAAGCTAGGGGCGCTCGAAGACAAACGAGGTCCTGCTCCGACGGTAGGACCGCGAGGCCGTGGGTGTACCGGACCAGCTGGAGGTACGATGTCCACGGCGCTGCGACAGGAGAAGACGCGCATGACCGCACGCATCTTCTCCTGCATCCAGTCGAAGGTCGACCTCTGCTCAACGTCAGTCAAGTGCAAACCTCTGTTCAACCTCACCTGGACTGCGGTGATATCGGCACTGATATCCCGTGCCGCATCAGCCTATGCAAGATGGAAATAAAAAATTCAGTAGTTGTCCTATATTATGAAAGATAAATGACATAATTGTTGGAAGTAATACAAATTGGACGTACCGCCACGAAGTAGTCTCGGTCACGGTGCGTGGGATACGCGTCCGTGACAGCGGCAACGTGCGGCTCTGGGGCGTCTGGAGTGAAGGTCACACGCGCACGAGTGCGAGGAAGGTACCAGCGAAGGTAGTCACGGTAGTTCTCCTCCGTGTGTGGGAAGAGCTCGTTGATCACCTCCTCTGTAGCTAACACCCAGTCGTCAACGTATTGCTGTACACGTGGAGCCCAAAGTGCGCCTGCTAGCTGTCCCCGTCGAGTCAACCTGTGAAGAGAGGTAAATTGTATGGCTCGATGATGTAATTATCATAAAAATTTAGAAATGAACAATCCGAACTCACGAGTGGTCGGCAGGGGGGACGGTCGGCTGCACGTTGCCGGGAAACACCTGCCTAAGTCCGAACTGTCTCATCACACGCTGCGGCCAGTGAGGCTCAACGAAAATGTCGAACACCATTGGCAGGATGGTGAGCCAGTAAGCCTGGTCGCGTGTGCACAAGGACGAAAGTCCTAGCGGTGCTCTCGCAGCGACGGCCTCTTCTGTGTACGGCTCCCAGATGACGTCGCTCGGCTGGAGACGGTCAAACTCGAACACGAAGTCCGGGTAACCACGTCTCACCTGGACGTGAGCGTAACGACGCTGCAATAAACATGATCGGAATTAGACATGTTATGTGAAGGAAAAAAAAAGAAGAGGACTGATAAACTTATAACGCAGCGAAGTTGCACTAACCCCACGTCGACACCAGTAAGTCCCCATCGTGGGACCGTCCTCTGGCCACTGCGCGCTGCGACCAACCCCGTAGGGTGCGCTGTCCACCACTGGTCGCCCTATGGCAAACCTCTCGGCTGCCCAAAGCTGAAGCAACATAGGACAGCCAGCGATGATCGCTCCCGCGTCAGTCTTCGTGCACGCCTCACAGAGGGCACGGTACGTGGCTGCTAGCACGGCAGAACCCCAGCTCCACTGCGGCACGTCCTGTGGCTGAGCATCCGCGATGGACCGTGCGTAGTGGACCAGCCGGAAGTCCACAGCGTGCCCGTGGGTGCTAGTGAACATCACCCACCCGAACAACCACAACAGGTACGCCTCAAGGGAGCGTCGGACCGAGTAATCATCAGCGTCAGGGTGCAGAAGGTCCGCCTACAGTTAAGAATGAAATGTTAGTACAAAACACTGATCCGGTCGCAAATAAGCACGTATGATAATAACAACTTATTTACTTACAGTGAACTGGAGCAACCAAGCCTTGCTAGGCCCGACTGTAGAGTACGGAGGAAGGGTGGTGGTCGGTCCTAGGTGTGGAAGGCGCATCACCTGCTCGAAGCGCGCAGTGATATCCTCCTTCCACCCAAAAACACCGTCGACGGGACCAACTGGTGCTCCCGCCAGCGGTAGCCCGAGCAGGTACGACACGTCCTGCAGTGTCGGAGCCATCTCCCCACAGGGAAGGTGGAACGTGTGCGTCTCAGGTCTCCAGCGGTCTACAAGAGCGGCAAGGAGTGACCGGTCTGCATCCCACCGCTTCGCTGGGTCACGGTCGTCCGCCGCCGCCTCAACAAGCCTACAAAGTGGTAGAAGGCCTGCCGCACGCAACCTGTATAGAGCAAACTTCAAACATAAGTATAAAACAAAGCAAAGTTGAGTTGAAATGTGAACATACGCGTACCAAGGAACGTGACGGGGGTCGACACGCAACC